CCTTCTGCTGAGCTTCCAACAAAAAATCGACGACTATGTGACAAAAAAAGTACTCGTCCTTCTACCGAACTTCTAAAAAAAGGTGACTGTTCCACAAAAAAAGTGCTTCTAAAAAATAGGTTCTCAGCTTGTCTATTTTTGTACACGCCAGGTCCCTCTCAAAGACATCAAAGAGAAGAGTAAAACAGGACATAATATGACGTAAAAAAGGACATTTTAAGCTTTAAAAAGACGCAAGGACATTTTGCTTAAAAAAGGACTGTCCTTTTCAAAAAAGGACAGGTGGCAACCCTAATGGGTGCCGTGAATAGAAACACATTATTAAGGGCAAAATCGTTGTCAAATGTGTTGTGATCAAAATGGTGGCCACATACAACAATTTCTTTAAATTGACAGTTTATATTTGAAGCTTGTATTGTAAATTCTCCCGCAGCCGCTGTAGAGTTTCTGTGAGCTACGAAGTAAGTTTCTAACATATCTAATTTTTCTTCATTGGTATACTTAAGAGCCATATTTGAAAATAATAACAACGTAACAGAAATTAAATTTAACAAAAAAACAATTAACGAATTGAAAATGAACGAATAAAATCTAATGTTAAACTAACTATAATTTGACAGTAATAAAACTTATTGTTGGCTTGCCTACTAGACCAAATTGAACAGAGCAGCAAAATAAATTTGGAACTTTTCAGATTTGTTTATTTCAGCATTCGTTTGAAAGAAAGTACCAAATTGTGATACATTTTTGCAAAGGGAATTAACAATTTATAGTCAATATCTCGAAAAAGAAACGATATATTCTTGTGTTTTATTTTTAATTGTAAAGACCTTAAAAAAGTGCCTATAGAATGGCTAGACCAAAATACTACATGTTCTTAAATAATCTAGAGACGGAGGACTGTCAAAAACCCACCATTTTGGTTTTTCACGATTTATTCAAAAACCAAAAATAACTGACAAAATGTAATAGCAGTTCTGAAATGGTAATAGAATCCTGAGAAACTTTGCCCATTTAACCGATTTTGTAGCTCTTTTAATAACCGAGATAGCAATACTGGCAACACCAATTTGGGACACAGTGTATACTGGATTATTCAAAGCCAAAAAAGTAAATATTGATACCTTCTTGTCTGAATTTTCACTAGATTTTAGTATGACCACGCCAAAAAATCTCGAATACAATACATCATTAAATGTAAATGAGCAAACCCTAAGGGATTAATCAATAATTCTATACCTCAGTGACGGGTAACACGAAAAATATAAAAAATAGTAAAATGTCAATATTAAGTACCCACTTTTATTTTTATAAAAATGGTATACTAGATATTAGGTTAGGACATTTCCTTAAAATAAACAAACAACGAAATTTATATGATATACTAAAAAAAATCTTTGTAAAAAACTTTTCTCATAAAACACTGATATTTCGTTTTTAGATTCCATAAAAATTTGTTTGTTTGTAATTCGGGTACTAGCGTCATATAAACAAAATTAATATAAATATGGAGTTACATACCTAAATAAATAAGTCGTTTCCTCCCGATAAGAAGTCATCATCATCATCATCGATTTCCTCACTTCCACAGAACATGTTAAGTTTCCAGAATTTCTCTTCCTCTGCTATGACATGTCTTATAGCGTTTTTCCAATTGTCCAGTGAAATTTTTGATATGGAGTCACATAATAGTTGACGAACATCTGGAAGTTTAAATGTTGTATTGTTTCTCGCGATGTATCCCTTCATTTGAGCCCAAATTAGTTCAATGGGATTAAGTTTACAGTGGTGAGGTGGTAACCGCAACACTTTGCCTCCATGTTTTTATGCTATTTCATGTACACTATACTTCTTAAATTTTGGTGAATGTTGTTAACATAACTGCAATACTGCTATTTTTTGAGTACTCTCTCTTCTGCCATTATTTCTTTGGTTATTAGCCAATCGGAGAGTTCTTGCTTTTTCCATTTAGTGTAAGGTAACGGTTCCTTTAATCTTGAATGGTAACTGGCATTGTTCATAACTATTACAGAATTGATCGGTAATAAATCCATCATTTGACTGAAATATTCCTCAAAAACATCAACAGTCATTTCTTCATGGTAGTCTTTCGTAATATTTGAAACAAATTCTAACAAAACTTCTATCAATAAATCCTTTATCTCCTCCAATATGAGTGATAATTAAACGGCGATCTTTACCAGTAGACAAAACTTCTATAAATGACTGACATTTGTAACCCGTTTGTCTTGCCAAACTTATTTTACAAAATGTCTTTTATTTATCCATGTTTCATCCAAATAAAAAATATTTTTGTCTTCTTTTCTTAATTTTCTAATTTCCCTTAAATATTGCCTCCTTCAACAAATAATTTCATCTTCCTCTATGAGCGAAGATTTTTTATCATTCTTCTCCCAAACGAGGTCTAATTAAGGTAAAGTTTTCCACAATTTGTCTCTTTTAACGTTTGGCAAAGTTTCGTCTCCATTAATGTCTACTAAAAGTTTATCCAAAGTAGGTATCTTTTTTTGTAAACAAAACGAATGCACTTTCCTCGGATCAGTTGTTTCATAGTACCGTCTATTTGAATAGGATTTCTTTCCGTTGACGTTTTAGGTGCTACTGTAATACTTCCATCCTTTCGTTGCTTCAAAAATTGTTGGTTCTTCAACTTAAACACTCAGAAACTATACTCCAAACAGTACTATTAAAATGTTCATGTACAAGAACGTCATGTACATTTAATACTAAAGTTTTCATATGCACGGTTAAATTGCACATTAATTTCATAGGAGTATAATTAGACGTTTGTGCCATTTTTATTGCACAAATTCACTTTTTATCGCCTATTAATACAGAACTAACAATTCTGGGTGTTACAATCACAGGACTACACAAACAGAAATGTAAATCTTAACTAAAATAATTTACAATCTGCATAACACTTTCTGCCAATTAGAAATTTTAATCAAGTTGAGGGCTTCTTGAATTGTAAATATTTTCTACCTGTAGTGACTACATACTTACCTTATTTTTGTTGATTAAAATGACTAGAAAATTTAAAACAAAAATTGAAATAAATTGGTATTTTTAAAAATTTTAGGAAGTAACCCAAAGATTTTATTTTGAAACAAATAATGCTAAACATTTTATTTTATAAATACTCCGTCACTGATTTTCGATGTTATATTGGTGTTTATCTCCTGGGTCATTCATTTTCAAATAAACTATAAATGGTCTTTTCCAAATGATTTGACAAAAGTTAGAACACATAGGCTTTAGAAAAAGTGAAAGAAAAGAGTGAAAAAATCCAATGGTTACTAAAGGCATGTAAAGCAATAAAGTAGTTTGGGTATTGTAGTAAAATAAATTGACTTATTAAAATGAACAAACACCTTACGTTCTACAAATTCAGATTATAGGTACTCTACAGGATATTACATATTTTTACATGTTTTAACGTATCAAAAACACAAAAAACAATTTAAGTGGCCCTAATGGTCTACACTTTCCCATCGACTATATCATCAAAATCTTTAAAGGAAAAATAATTCCAGTGAAAGTACCGAATCATGTTTGTAAATCGAATGCGTGTTACACGCAAATTTAAATGAACCTTTTATTGTGAGCTAATACGTTGTTATTAATTTTCAAGTTCGTTAATGCAAAGCGATGCCGTTAGGTGCTCTATGACCGATTTATGGATAAAAATGAAACATTACAACCGCAACAAATTATAATACCATTTTTCAACACAGAACGCACTGGGTTCATTATGCGACACCTTCGAAAATGAACAATAAACAATAATGTTAAAGAAGCAATAGTTTTTACTTCTTCCCTAAATTACTTTTTACCTATTTCTACGTCAGATTTTAGAAACCAAAAGACAGAAAAAACGATTTAAACGGACATAGCCTAAAGGCATACTTAACCAAGTCCAACAGCGTCTAGGTTAGCCCCTGAGGTTAGCCGTTATAGCTAATCGTTTATCACATGCCGACGGAGCACTTTTATAAATGATAGTACCAAAGATCATATTGTTTATATTGAAACATAAATTATTAGAGAGAAAGTATTTTAAAAAGCAAACAGTGATAGCATTTCAAGAAACATGAGGGTTAGCAAAGTGGAATATCATAATTAAGCGATCTGTAATTTTTAATTGTTATTGTCTCTATGAAAGTTAAGTGACTAAGAAATTAATTGCTACTTCAGTGTTTGTATTCCAGGATCTCCAACGGCTGCTCATGTAAAACTAATTTGGCCATAGATTTATAAATGTTTTCTAGTACAAAGGTAATAATTGCATATTCAGTAAATAAGTTTTTTCTAAAACATAATTTTTTATAAAAACCTGGTTTCCTGATCTTTTCCATAATTGTATCATCTGTAGAAATATTATAGACTATACAGGGTGAGTCGGGAGGAGAGCACCACACTCTAGGAGTATATTATACACGTGAAAATAATGTAAAAAAACTCATATGTTCTTATTTGATTTTCATTTGTTTTCAAGTTATAGCATATTAACAAATAAACAAATTTACACATAAAAATTCTCTTAATCATAGCGTTCTTTCAATAAATGTTCAAAAATACCGCCATTGACTTCTAAACATTTTCTGCTTCGTCTACGAAGAGCGTTTGTTGCTCTCCTAATTGATTCATTTCTTTCTTCTTTATCAGGATGTCTTCGGACAGTTCATTAAAACGTCAGAATTATCAAATGCCTTTGAGCCTTGAACATATGGCATACTTTGATAATGTTAAAATTCAGAAGTGGAAAGTTAGATGAACATTTTTAATTACGCCTTAACTTAAAAACAAATGAAAATCGGATAGGAACATATGAGTTTTTTTACATTATTTTCACGTGTATAATATACTTCTCCTGACTCACCATGTATAATAAATTTATTGTAAACTGTCAGCTAAACAAAAATTTCTTGATTAAATATTCAAAAATCAATGTAAAATTGTTTAATATGAAAACTTACCAAATACCACTGCTCCCTAAAAAGTGGATCGGGAAACGAAACAGAGGGTACTGCCCTGTACCTAGGTTGGCCGTGGAATACCTCGGCAGTAGAGGGTGCGACTTCGCTGATGTACTGGCTAAATGGTGATATCGATGGGTGATCGCCAAAATCTCGTTTTCGTCGAGTTTTCTCGTGCTGCTGTTGAACCCAAAGGACCTGGAACCAAAAATACCGTTAAAGCGTGTTTTAAATTTTTTGTGCTTTTTATTGTCATGCGAGCCATTTTCGACCAATCTGGTCACGCTATAAACCCGTGAGTCTCTTTTTATTTTTACGGCCTTCATTTTCCCGTTACCAAGAATATTGGACGAAGTTACACCCTCCTATATACAAGGTGTTTCAAAAAAAGGTAACCCCGTTGCTAGGATAGGTAAAACAATGCAAAATAAAATGGTTTTTTTTAGTAAAAAATGTTCGTAACGGCATCCGTTTTCAAGATACAAGGTAATAACAAAAAATTATACACATTTTTCATTGTAATGAAATTTTGTACGAATATATTTTGGAAGCATACATTTATTTGTTTTAATATCTGCCTCTCTCATAGAGGGCCTAGTTGCACGTTCGTACCGAGTAATTTAAACATAACTTTTTTGAGGTTAAATTTTCTAGTCCAAATTTTATGTAAACTCAAACATCATTCAATTTTACATCAAAAAGGAACAACTTAGTAAAACTCGATACTATGTACCGTTTTCGGAATACAGTATAACTTCGATAGTTCAAACAGTGATAGCCCGGGTAGTCCAATCATTATAGTAAGTTCACCTCGGAATTCGAGATACCTAGCTGTAAGTCTGTAAATACTTGTATATTGACACCCTAAAAGTTGTCTCAAAACCTACATATGGTAGGGTGTACGCATCTATTAAATTTCAAGGTCAAAGGTCACAAAAATCGGTTTTTTGCGCTTTTTTTGTAAATATCTCATTTCCTATGGGTTTTTTGCTATTTGTATTTATTATCAATATTGTAGAATACAAAATTCTCTAAAAATTTTGTTTAAAAAATTTTTTCATACGGTGAACCGTTTTCGAGATAGATGACGGAGAGCGCGCGGTCACAGCATCACTTCAGGTCAACCGGTGCCTCTGGTCGAAAACGCGCCATATATAGTTGATGAAATATCGATAAATCAATGATTATAAATATTTGTCAATTTTTATTAACTATTATATTATATTTTATCATTTTTTTTCCTAACCTATCCACTTTTTATTTAGTATTAATTTATTTAACAACACTTACCTGCCCATGTAATTGCAAAATTGTTAATGAAAATATAGGAATTATATTTGAATTTTAACCTAATTAATATTAATAAATTCTTACACGATGAAAAAAAAAACAAATAAATTATGAATTAATCTTTTTATTAAAAAATTTCATTCAATACATTTATTTTTATTAAAAGTAAAAAAATGGAATAAAAGGTACAAAAACAACAATTTATAATTTTAATAATCTTCTTCCTCTTCATCGTCGTCTTCCGGCTGCTGGTAAATTTCAAACTGGTCTTCATTATCGTCTTCAACGACATTTCTCTCAAGTTCTTCCATGATTTCGGGGTCAAAGGTTCCATCTTCGTTAATGTCGCTCTGATATGGTAGAGCATTGAGACAAGCTTGCCCATTACATTGGCCACAAGCTAAAGAGCATTGCAAGCCCGCTTTCCTGCATCCGCATCGCGAACCACAACCACTCTTGCAGTTGCAGAAAATTGTATTTAGCAAATCTTCTGGAGCAGGTGGTAAAATTGTCATGATAGGCTCCAGAAAATCGTTTCGCATTGCCCAACTCCATACCTGGGGTTCCAAATCATGCCTTAACCAAGTTTGAACTTAATAATATACACGTTTGAAAGGTTGATGAGCAGCTGCTTTTGTTGGTGGAATATTTGAAAGCTGCACAGGTTAATTAAGTTTTGTAGACTTGACGTAATGCATATAACAAAGATGATCGAGACTTTTCACAGATTTCGGAGCATTATAGACTGCCAATAAGATTTGAGTTCCACTCTCTAATAATCTCTGGGCCGAACAATTTTCTTTCTCAAATGCTGCAGCTAGTTCATTCAAATTTGTCAGTTTCTCAAAAACTTTAAAAAATGATTTTTTCCCTTTTTAAAAAGCGCAGAAGTTGTGTCACAGCCACTTAATGCGTGCAGAAATAAAATATGTGTTTTGGAATGAGGATAATTATCAAAACTTTTAGTCAAGTATATCCCCGTTTTTACATTTCCTTTCCCAACTTTTTTAAAGAAAATGTCTTGTTCGTAAGACAGTGTACGCCCAATTAAAATGACAAGTAAATCAATATCTTGTCCTATTATAACTGCAGTTTTTTCAGAATTTGATTCTTCGATTGCAGTTTCAATAATAAGAACATCAGCATTATCTCTGGCTTGTTTAGTAGTAATATTTGCAGCTTGTAATTTTTCAATTAACATATTAATGAGCATATCTTTGTTATTTCGATTTGATAAGAATTTTTCTTGAGTAACCGGTACAACTATTGTTTCATCTTCTCTGCTGCTCCATAGCTTTTACGTTCTTACTGTAATCTGAATTTTTTTAAACAAAATTTGTAGAGAATTTTGTATTCTACAATATTGATAATAAATACAAATAGCAAAAAACCCATAAAAAATGAGATATTTACAAAAAAGCGCAAAAAAAAACCGATTTTTGTGACATTTGACCTTGAAATTTAATAGTTGCGTACACCCTACCATATGTAGGTTTTGAGACAACTTTTAGGGTGTCAATATACAAGTATTTACAGACTTACAGCTGGGTATCTCCAGTTCCGAGATTCTTACCTAATTTAAGCTTAAATGACTGGACTAGGGCGCGATTTTACGTTTCCGTGTTCAGTTCAAACCGACGCGGTCTTGAAATAAACACGGGAAAGTATTGCTATATTTATTGGCAAACCCGTGTTGATTTTAAGGCGCCAGACAATGAACAACGCACGGATTTATTTGGAAATGAATGAAGATACATGTTCATGTTTCCGTTTTCATTTCAAAGAGTATCTTGGTACTGAACATGGAGACGTTACACAAAAAGGACAACACATTTGTAAATAGCCTAATTTTTATTTATAAAAGTACTCCTCAAGAAAAGGATCGCATAACTTACGTTTAGAGCAATGGAACAAAATTGTGTTAAATATTCTAGTAATATAAAAGTGATTTAACTAAACTAATATTTATTTGTATACTTATATCAACATAAAATAATGACGAAAAAATTGGTAAGTAGTAGATATAGTCTATACGTTATACGGTATAGAAAACATGTTTTAATAGTTTAATACATCTTTCGTAGTAGAAAATTAGTAGTAGTTACCTAACATTATTAGATTATGCGATACTTTTTGTGACTGGTGTACATTATTTTTTATTTGTTTTATTATGGAGCATTGTTGACAATACAGCCTCTAACTCAAATCGGCGCTTCATTATCCAATTTGTTTCTAAAGAAAGTGCACTAACTAAACAACTACATTGTTCAACGTAAGTTCCGGTATAAAATAACGCACACTGCACCCTGCAAACATAGTTAACCGAAGAGTGTTCTTCAAACTTTAAAATGTCAAAGTCTTTAGTGTGTTTACGAAGGAAACTTTTAAAATCTTCCTTGACTTAGCCGGCAAATTAAAAACTGCGATAATCTCAAACAAAACGTAAATAAAATAATTTTAATCAGCTGTTATTACAATCGATCACTTTATGTAGGCAACCTGTAAGAGTCAGTATACTACCATTTCGTCCTTAAGATCAAACCGGATTTGGATGTGAGCAAATACGGCTTGTTTCCAAACAAATCCGTGCATGGTTCATTGGCGCCTCGATATCAACACGGGTTTGCCTATAAATATTGCATTACTTTCCCATGTTTATTTCAAAACTGGGTCGTTTTGAACTGAACTCGGAAACGTAAAATCGCAGCCCGCGAACTCCAGTAATCCGGACACTGTTATTCGGACATTTTGATAATTTTACCTCAGTAATCAGGGCGTGATAGTACTACCTATGCAAAAATGCAGGTGGACTGAGGAGAACAATCTACCCATTGAAGATGTAATGCTCCTGAAAAGGTTCAAAGAAAAAGCAACTGATATAGCTACAACAAAAAGGAATATTCAGCTGATTAAATTATACATACTACATTATGTACTCATGTTAAAGATTTTGTATGTTTTAATTCTGAGAGAACTCATTTTTTTTAAGTTTTTGATTCACTTTATAATAAAATACAATTTTTTATATAATCTGAGTTGTTTTAAGTTTCAAAATAAATAAATTCTTAAGTCTGTTTCTGTTTTAATGCTTGAATTCTGATTCTAGACATTAAAAAACACTTATATTTCCATTTTTAACTTTTAAAGTTTACTTTTGTCTGATTTACGACGATAAGTAAGTTTTAAAGATTTTAATTCATTTTATGAGCAACAGATGGTAGCACTTTGATCAGCCCGATAGCAAATTGCATATTATTTGTGAAGGGCACAGTAGTGAGTATTTAATTGTCTATCACAGATGTAACAACCGCCCTTATAAGTTACTAAGTTATAAAATAGCATCAAGACAGTGTAAACAAGATGTTGACTCATTTTGCTTTGGCAACAAATTTGAAGCTTTGGCATAAGAAGTCTATTTTAACCACATAATCCGGAATCAAGATAATAATGGGTACTTCAATTTGACTGTGTTAATTGCAAAAAATCTTTAGGAGGTAAAAAACTAAAAATTTTAATTTTAAAAAATATCAAACATATTAATGTTCTATATTAATGTTTATTAATTTTTTATACATAAAACTTAAGTTTTTTTTTTGTTATTGATATCGAAAGGAAAATCGACACATGAAGTTTGCAGTGCCAAGACTTTGGAGGGAACCTAGTGATCATGTGCAAGACTGTTATTTTTGTATCGTTAATCCAAGTAAACGTCGAGCTGGTGAAAATGTTGAAAAGATTTTTATCCTGATCTTCCTTCAACGTCTTCTCCAATATCTAATAATGAAAATATGTTCCTGTGCCACCTCGTTCAGTATTAGACAACTTTAGAATTCAATCGACGCGCAAAGTTCAATATAATCCAATACGGCGCTTACTAACACCGATGGTAGTGAATACATCACTGAGTTTTGGACCACTT